GTCCACTTTATTGTTTTGCACTTTAATAAAGAGGAGATCCAAAAGAACACTCTGCAGTCACACACACATTAAAAACTCTAATAAAATTCATTTACATGCTCTGGACCTCTGGAAATAATTTCTAATGCAGATTTTGCACATTTGTTGAGTGAATTTGTGTTTGAAAAGTGAATTTGCATAATGATCAGCGTTTTACAGGTATGCTTTTGTGCCAAGGTAATTGCCAAAAGGTGCACTTGAATTTTAAATGCTGTGAAATCTCTTTATTTTTGCTTTTTATGGTTTTTAAAAATGATTTGAAAGACCTTGCGCGTTTCTGGAAGCGTGTCTCTTTGTGCGTTAAAAAAAATACCACCCTGTTTGTGTCACGACAGACTAATGTCCCAAGGGCACAACATTCCCTTGATTGAATCATACATTTTGATTCTAAAATGTTGATTTTCAATGCATCCCGGTTAAACAAATTAATCAGTGCAGAATTATTACAATCTTCAAATGTCACCGTCAACATCAGAGCTTTAATCAATTGTATAACTAAAGGTCACAGATGTAGCGAAAGCATGGGTTGTTGACTTATACCATTTGTTATTTTCCCTGCCCTTAATCAATTGGGACCTTTCATGTTCTTTCTGCATTATTGCTAAGGTGACCTGCAGAAAATCTCTTCTTTGTAAATCACTCGCTGAGTTGCTTGGTGTTGAGTGTAACTTGTAAAAGCATAGACTGTGAAGGTTTGGAGGTAGTATCAGTTACATCACCCATAGGTTTCTGAAGAATGCAATAGAAGCTATAAGTAGGTGTGGCCAACCATTGCCTTTTTGTTCGCGTGACATTGCAGACTGGGCAATACCAAACAAGGGCAAAGAGGTGGAGCGTGAGCTGAGCTACAGATGCCTGCTAGCATTTTGCTCAGATGGTCTTTTCTTTTGGAGAAACTCTTTACATTTCATTACCTGCGACTCGTTTGTGTATTCTGACCACTTGTGTTTGGTTGTGTACTATATCAATTGAGTGTTTTGTTTTTTAAAAACACTGCTGTAATACATTGAGCCACTAAGCACTGTTCTTATGACAATTTTCTACAGGAGGAAAACGCAAATTACTTCCAAACACTTAAAATGTAGTCCGTGTAAGTAAATACAAGGTTGTTTATGAAATCCTATAGCCTTCAGCTAATTAATATTTCAGATTCTGGAGTGTTTTACAGTTCTAAAGAAAATTATAAATAATAAATGATCTTAAATAAGCCAAATACATTTATAGATTTGATATATAAGTATATAATTTCACTCACCTGGGAAATGGAGGCCACTTGAAAGGTTTGTTAGCTCAGTGCACATGCCATTTTATCTAAACGTAAGAAACAATTCTAAAAAGCAGCTGACATGTGTAAAGCCTCATAAAACAAAACAAAAATATGATGAATATGCCGAGTTCAGTGGCTAATCAGCTGGAATCAGCTATGACAGCGACCATCTGTCATTCAAGTGGCCACACCCTTAATTATGCAGACTTAATATAACTTATAAAGGAAACGGATGAGTTGTTAAAAATTCACCCGCTGACAGTTGTCATGAAGGGTAATATTAGCTATATGAACCAAAATCTTTTCTTTTTTTTTGTGCCAGGCTGTAAACACCTTTTTTCTGCTGTAAAGTTGGCCATTTTAATAGTGGGGAAGCACAGATTTTACAGATTTTTTGAAAATTAAAAAATATAGACTATAATAATAAATAAATAAAAAACTTTTATGCTGCAAAAAATGGTTTCTCCTGTGTTTCTCATCCAAATTTTGCCAAACTTTTTCAATAATTGGCAGAATTTTAAATATTCAAAGTTTTATTTTGATTTAGGGATGTTTTTTATCGCCTTACTGTTCATTTTGTTATTAACATTTTAAAGGTTTAAAATCTGTTTTTGCCTTAATAAATTACATCCTTGTTAGTACTCTTAGGCTTTATTGCAATCTTTATCTCAATGGACAGTGAATTTACTTAATTAATAGTACAAAACAAGCAAAAGTAGCAAACACATTACTTTACATGCTGTCATTAATCTATATATACAGCATGTATAGCTCTGGGCTCAGAAAGTTCTCAAAATATAATTTTATCCTACATTTTTAAAGGAAAATGAAGGTGTGGGTTATATAGGTAGTTGTTAATTGCAGAGCTTTTCTATAAAAAGGTGAAAAAACAGCTGCAATTTCTGAAAGAGATCAAACCTCAGTCAGCTAAAGAAAAGTAATGCAAAAGTACCTCAAGTATTACTTTCCATAAAAATTAAATAAGTAACACAATTAGTTACTTTTTTGGGGGGAGTAACTCAATATTGTAATTTACAACAGTACTTTCAAAAGTCACTTTCCCCAACACTGCAGTCACTGAGAGAAAGGAATATGACGTGCAAGGCACAAACCGTGTCTTGACTAATCTAGTAATAAACGTGTCAATGATCTCGTTCACCCATATCATTGTGTTTTTTGGTTGCGCTGAATATAGCTTTTAGTTTCACCTAATATAAAACAGAGTGTTTACAGCAGCTACCAACTGGTAATGAGGCCTATAGCATGAACTAAAGGAGGTATTATTGTCTGTTTGAAGGTGTAGATTTAAATCAAGACTTTGGAAATGAAACGTCTGTGCAGCACATTAGGATGAGATTTGCCGCAACTGTAGTCATGCATTCCGGTTTATGTCCTGATCTTACGGAGTTTGAGCGGTGACATTGCCAATCACCGCGTTTTAGCGCAGATGTGCAGATGGTTTCCTCCCTCAGGTCCCGCCACATGCAAAACTGCTGATTTAAGAGGAATGTCACGGTTAATTAGTACATTAGTAAAGTGAAGCGTCGCCTCACTCTCAACTATATGGCACCATGTGATTTTCCTGTACAGGCTGGTTTGTACCATATTATGTATTTGTCCTTTTATTACACTTACACAGATATTGCTCAAGTGATGTTGTTTATATACTGCTTAACTTCAGTTAATACTTTAGTGACACCATGGAATAACCACAATTCTATAAATACTAGAATGGCCATAGTTATTCTGAAAGGAAGTGTTCGGTCACACTCTTTACATCGGATAAATAAAATCTAGCTCAGGACGTCAGATCCTGTCAGATATTATCTGTTTTTCTGGGTATTCAGACAACAAGCCAGCAGAGCCGCCCAATAGCCAAACCTGTTAACCAGTATTTAACCGAATTAACAGTCTCCTATCAATATGGGAGTTGACTGAGGAAGCCAGAGAGGAGCAGAAGCAGAAGACAAAGCAACGTTGATAAAGAAAGAGCAGGGTTTGATTAATCTTAGTTGCGTATGATTTAATGCCCAGACTTTGCATGACCACAATAAATCCAACAAGTGATATTATACCATAAGCAACAGTAATTTGCTTCACAACATTGTCCAGTGACAATACAGACCTAAAGTGGAGACTTTCTTTATCTCTTACTCTTGAAAACAAGTGTTGCTTGAATCCACACAGTCATTAGTTTATGATAATATAGAACAATTGTATAACAATAAAGCAATAATTATAAGAAAAATAGTAATAATAAAATATAAAAACATAATAAAATGACAAATAAAAATCAATATTATAATCAATGAAATGGTATAATGATAATTATATAAATGACTAGTGATCATATGGTTAAATAAAATAATTTAAATGAAGAACAAATAAATATAAAGAAATAAAAATAATACACAACAGAAATGAATGGTTGCTTTCTTAAAGGCATAGGTTTGCTACAAGGATTCTCTGATCCTTAGATTCTTCATTAGGAGAGAAGTATGTAAAATTTAGCTTTTTAAATGTTTTTTACTATTATTAATACATATATATTTGTTTATTAAAGTGTCAGAAACAATGCATTTAGCTTTCAAAGCTGTTACCTTGTTTGTGTTTCAAAATATCATTCTTTTTTAAATGTCCACTATAGTCTTAATGTCTTAAGACCATCTTAATGTAATTAAGAAGCAGAGAGGATTTTTTGTAAAATAGCTGAGGTAGACTTTGATTTAGAGTCTGACAATCAGACAATTAAGAGAATTAGAGACAATTAGAGAAGTTTTAGATCACTTTTATGTTAAATTTGTTTTGGATTAACATCAATTATTATTATTATTTTTTTTAGTTCAACTCTATTTATTTTTTATTCCATTTATTTATTTTTATTCATCCTTTTATTTATTTTTTTATTTTATTTTATTTTACTTATTTTATTTTATTTTTATTTATTTTATTTTATTTTATTTTATTTTAAGTTAACTGTTTCTCATATAGTGAGCAAAGGTATAGACCAAAATGTAAAAAATGAAAGGACAGAAGACATTATAAAGCCCAGCAGACAGCGTTCTGCCTCTTTTCATGGCAATTTTTAATACGAACCATGTCTTTTTATGAGCCTTTAAAATGTTTTTTATGCCTGTTGGAAGGAAACATGAGGTGAAAACTAAATCCTCTCCAAGGTGACTCAATCGGTGTAAGTGTATATACCTTTGTCTTGCAGTGTCCTTGTGTTTTAGATGTCTTTCGAAACTGATTTACCCATTTAATGTTGTTCTTAATACACTATATTCCTCAAACAAGTTTATTTAACATCAGAAGACATGCAAACTACATTCCATCTCGTAGCAGAAACGGTATAAACCTGTCAGCTTTAAAATATTATCCCTGCTTGTTTATAATGGCAAACATCATACAGCCTCCCAGCGGCTTGTCCACAGAATACAGAGGCTCCAGCTCTGGTTAAGAAGTAAACAAGTCGAGGCTTTATTTCCATCTCATAAACATATAGATTTATTACCATCGTTTTTGAGCAGCCTCCCTACGCAGTGTCTCCCATTAGTAATGAACACTCCGATTTATGACCGTTTCCATCAACCTCCAGACATAATTTACCTTCCCAGACACGTTGTGCTTTTATGCAGATTAGCAATCTCAGTAAAAGACTCTTAACGGAGATATCCTGTTTTTTTCCCTACAGGAGAGGGTGCAGGTCATTAATGGCGCCCTGTCCATCACTCACCTGGCACTCTCTGATATTGGGATGTACCAGTGTGTGGCTGGAAACAAGTATGGAGAAGTCTATTCCAATGCTGAACTCAGAGTTATCGGTGAGTGAAACCTGGTTAATCGCATTTGACTTACATATTGGTGTTGCTTTATGGAATAATGTGTGCATTAATAAAGCTTATTACACAGCTGTCTGGAATACTTGATTCTGATTGGTCACACCATTCGAATGTATGGTATCCGCAGATAACAACCGCTAATACTAATAACATGAGAATAATTTTGACCATCCGTGAATTACATTCACGTCATTGTCCGTCATGATGCTGTTTTTGACTGTTTGGGGCTGAATAATATGTAAGTTAGTGTATGCTTCATTCAGCCGCTTTTGTTTCTGTTAGCTTTGCTTTGAATTAAACATTTATTAAACTAAATAATAAAGTAATTTTTACATTTTGTGGCAAGTAGCCCTTTAAAAAATGGGACAAAGTACATCCAGACGGTTCTTTCTGCTATTTTTCTATCTGCTAATAAACATGTTGAGCTTTATTCTGTGATTAAAAACCACCCGGATGTACTTTATTCCTTACTTACACTCTTTATTTCAATTATATGTTCCTAATAAAGGCCTCTGATGTGATTCTGTCACAGTGCTGTTTTTGACAGCTTGGCGCCCTCTTGTGGCTGAATAATATGTAGGTTAGTGTATGCTCCAACCAGCCATTTTCGTTTAACATAGGTACATTACTTTTAACATCTTTTTTACTAATTCTTGAATGAATAACTCACATGAGGTATATGAATTAAAAACATACAGCTTAACCACTGTGCTGTCATTCCTAAACATATTGTTCATATGAAATTGGTCTTTTTAAGTTAATTTAAATATATAGTATAACCAGCATGGTCTGATATTTGAAAAATAATTTATGTTTGTTGGTAAATTAAAAACACACTGTAAAAATGCTGTTTCTTACTATTGATTTTTGTTGGAACAACTTAAAGGAATTAAGTTAACTAATTAGTTTTTACAAATTTAAGTGGATTGAACTTAAAACAATTAGGTTGTCCCCCCAAAAACCTAAATAATTGTTTTTTCTCATCTTTTATTAATAAGTAAATTGAACAAACAGCAAAAGTCATTCTTTAAATGCAAACAAACAGTATAGTCTGATTACCGAATATCACTCATTTAAGCTATATCTTTAAGGGTGAGCTACGTATACCTTTAATTTTCAGAAGGATACAGCACAACCACTGTATACTTCCTGAATGAATGATACAGTTAAACCAGCTTAGTATTTCTGTTGAACAAGTTATTCATATGTGTCTGTTCCTTTTTTGTGGATGCAAAACAAAGAAATGGTCTGATTCTTTCTTCAGTTTTTATCTAAAAAAATAAAGTTTAATTTTTTAGGAAAAAAAAATTTCTTTCACAAAGAATCATTTAAACTAAGCCAGCTGATGTCATTGTTTGAGCCAGACTCTTAAACGTTAGACTGCTCAAACACACAGTAATGTTTGTAAATCCCTTCAGCAAATGCATTTGTTCTACAATCAACCTACAAATGACTTAGAACAAATAGTTTCTGCATAATAAATTGTTGAAAGAGTTTTTTTTTTATGGGTACCAGAGCTGGGTTTACTTGTCATCTACATTCACAGTCTGTTCACCCACGTCTTTCTTTGTTTATTGTTTTTGCCATAAAAAATCCAGCCTCCAAAGTGGCCAAGAAACTGAACTCACAGGAGAATAATCGTCAGTCCCTTGTGCAGATAAAATAATTGAAGTGCCATCTAAAAGACAGAATGTGAAGATCGTAGAGCCAGATAAATTATCATAATAAAAGCTCATTTGAGTGAGGAAGGTGGAAGAAGAGAAAAAGAAAGAGGAAAGGACATGACATTTTCCCTTTGTTTTTCTTAGTGGAGAAAAAGACCGTGTGATAATTAAAGTGTGCCACATATGCCATCTCTCATTTCTACATCATCCAGGCCCATGTACACATGTCTTCTTTTGAAGTACAGTGATTAGAGAGCATAGTCCTTAATCCTCATGTCTGAATACCTGTAATTACGGTCAAATATGAAGGGGGAAAAATGAGCCTGAGGCATGATGGTCTGCAGTTGTCAGATATTGTTGTTGTTAAATATTTAAATGGTCCTTTGTGTGCTATTGATTTATTGGCATAATAAGATATAGGGAATGAAATAGTGTAGATATGAAGGGGAAATGAAAAAATGAACAGCATAAAGCAAACCACAAGGCCACAGCTTGACAATGAGTCAACATTTTATCTATGACATAATTATAAGAGTCAATCAATTAACCCACAAGATTGTTTGCTAATGAGTTGATTGATGAGTTTTAAATTTTATGGAAGTATTAAATCAATCAATCAATCAATCAATCAGTCAGTCAGTCAGTCAGTCTGTCTGTCTGTCTGTCTGTCTGTCTATCTATCTATCTATTTATCTGTCTGTCTGTCTATCTATCTACCTGGATTTTTACCTCACAATTCATTCAGAGAAGTCTTTTTGAGAATTTGAGAAGTGCAAGTCAGCATCTGACAATTACTAGCTCATATCTCACATTTTTTTGTCTTAGAATTCTGTTTTTCATAATTGTTCTCTCATAAGAGTTGTCAGTTCTGACTTTTCTTAAAATCGCAAAATCAAACATCTTGATAACTTGTCACATTTTTACTTTAAAAATATGACTTTTTCAATCAATTAGTAGTTCACATCTCGAAAGTCTGAATTTTCATAGAATTGCAAGTTAACCTCACTTTTTTCTTCTAAGTTCAGGTTTATGTATGTATGTAAGTTAGTAACTGTGGTGTTATTTTTGTATTCATTAATATGGTTGTTTATTTTAAAGGTGCTGTATGTTTTCGACTCTTTTAAGCATAAAAATACCATAATATGTTTGCAGATATTTAAGAAACATGCTGAGTGAACATACTTGTTTATCTGAAAAACATTGCTAAAGTCATTTATTCTGCTTTGAAAATGGGCATTATGTGCCAGAACATCTGCCTTTGTTTTTGTTCTTTTAACCCACCCAATGCCAGTTTAACTAATTATATTTCAGCACCCTGGGTTGCCATGTTGGAAAACCGCATGTTTCATTCATTCGATCAGAAAGGCTCTTAAAGCATGTGCTCGTGATCGAAATGCGACCTCCGGTGGAAATTAGCAGACTTCGAAATGAGACGTAGATTCAGAGTTCCAAATGAGGTTACTAATTAGCAAATAACATAAATATTACGAACGTGAACATTAGGTGAGCAGGTTACATTGTAACCCCGTGTCCCAACAACACACTGCATGATAAGCAATTTGGCTGTTTGCACCAGACGAAACATAACAGAAATTGAAATACAGCCATTCAGAAGCACAGAATAGTGCACTTACTGCAATCCAATGAAATGGTACGGTTTATAATGTAATACATAATAACTGTTTAACATTATTACCCGTAGATGCTAAATCACTGATATGTGTTGATTTTGAGTCACAGTTGTAAAGTTCAATATCGAACAGTTTTTTTTATCTTCAAGATCTAATATAAACGATCTGCTGCTGCTTTCAGTAGTATGGCAATAAATGTCACGTAAAATGGCATTCTAACTCACATTGTTAGCATTTAACACTGATTAAAGCACGTGAGGTGTACCTGAGGTGATCATTTTCAGTTTTCTGTTGTTCAGCTGCAAGAAATAGTAGCCGTTTCTAAAATATCAATTCATGGTATTGGTTAGGACAAAAACTCTTTTAATATGGAAAATATTCCTTATGTCGCGTGTGGTTACTTTTATATAGAACACAATTAAAATCAGCCTTTAGGTTTGATCCTTAAACTCTTTTTGATCCTCAATCTGGCAACCTGCACTTGCGTTTGTTTTGATTCAGGAATGAAATACCTAGTTCAACCACTGGGTGTCAAACTTACATACTGCACCTTTAATATTGTTATTTTTGTTAACTACATGTCAAAATAATTGCACAACTGTATCTGATACACTTAATCACAACAGACCATAATTTCACCCTTATTTTGCTTTTTAGTTTCACAGTAGTTGTCAGAAACATGAATGTAGACATTTTACTTATATTTAATTTGTTTTCTATGCATAAAAAAGTACAGTGCACATCATAAATAGCCCCTTTCACAGATGCAGACCTTTCCGGAAAATTGCCGTTATTTTTTTCCGAAAGGTCTGTATCTGTGAAAGGGGCTATTTAAAGGTCTGTATGTATGAACAGGCCCTTTTTGAAAATAACAGTAAATTTGTTCCGGCTATTTTCCAGAAAGAGAAGTTGTAACATTACCGGTAATTTGCTGGTATGCTGTGCAATGTGAACGCAGAAGGAAGATTGCCGGAAAGACATATAGAACGCGCTGACATGAGATGTCTGCTTTAGCCAATCAAAACACTAAGGCGCATTCACATCCGTGTGGTTAATGCAAATAAAAGCTATTGAATAGTTTTCCAGACACATTTAGCTGCTAGATGTTAGTCAGATAACGTTTCTATGTTCCTTTTTAATGCAACTGTGTAAATAATTACACAGATGCTTATGATAAGCCGTTGTTTGTTTACCATTAAGCTCTTCTTCCTTCAGTTGCTTAAAGTATCGCGTATGCACGTGAGGCAGCCCGTGAGCGCCAGCACATATTATATACATTTCGATATGCAAAAGTGCTTCTCCATATGTTTTCATCAAAGTTGTTCACAATACTTATTCATTCACAGAGTTTGTAATGTAGTCAAATATTTACAAATACAAGTGCAACCATTTATTTGTCATTACTGGTTAATGATTTCCGAATTTAACAGTATTTTTAACTGGATGTGTGAATGGTCTTTTCCGGAAAAATTCTGTAACGTCCGTGCCTGTGTGAACAGTGCTTTTTTGAATTTACCGATAAAGTCATTCCGGAAATTTTCTGGATATTTCCCGTATCACTGTGTGAAAGGGACTAATGAATACACTGCCTTTTGAAAATAATATATATTTTTTTTAATGTAGACAATATGTTTTGATGAAATTAAACCGTTATATTAATCTAAAAAAATAATACGTGTTATCATCTAATATCTATAGAAAAAGAAAGATAATACATTGAAATTAAAGTAAAATAAACAAAAATACAAACTACAAAATTTCAATAAAATGTAATATTTTCTTATTGTTCTCATGACATTTTTCTGTTATTAATTATCTAATATTTATTGGAGTGTACAAATTTTTAAAACGTTCATTTATTCTTTTCCTTTTGCTTATAGTCCCTTATTTCGCCACAGCGAAATGAACCGCCAACTATTCTGGCATATGTTTTACGCAGCGCATGCCCTTCCAGCCACAACTAGCCCATTCGATTGTCATCACTCGATTGAATGGGTTTTATAAGTGGTTATTAGCTTATGGATATAGGCCAGTGTGGGCCTTCTGTGCCTACTAGTAGGCTCAGAAGGTTGTTATCATCCATCTACATGGCTAATCAGCTATATTAATAGAGTATACTCCAGATCCAGATCTGTTTTTACATTACTGTGATCAACTGTAGACTACATACGGCTGTGGACGGAAGTTAACTAGAATTACTTATATTATTTATTAAATTTCCCATTAAACTGTATTTTATAAACGTCAACCTCTACCCCAACCCTAAACGCACCCATCACAGCAACAGATCTTGATCTGGAGTATTCTCTATAGCTGATTAACCATGTGGATGGTTGAAAACAGCTTTCTGAGCCTACTAGTAGGCGCTGAAGGACCCTACTGGCCCATATATATCAGCTGATAACCATTAAAATGCCCATTCAAGATGAGATTGTGTTATTATTCAAGTGATAATATTCGAATCGGGTGCTGCAACCCAGTGCTGGGAAACAAGATCTTAAGTTATTTTGTTATATTAGTTCCATTTTTGGCTTTTGTAATGACTAATCTATTGTATATACACATATATCTTATTGTAGGAGATTTTCATTTATTCTGGGCACTGTATTTGACGCACACACCAAAATTGGAACATCTTGTCCTTGTGTATAATTCAAAATAGCTGTATGAGACAAAGTTTAACCTCTGTCAGTTTGAAACATTTTCTGTGCTTTCTGTTGACGTGCGCTATTAATAAAAGCTAAAAACGTGTCTTCGGTTTCAGCCGTCGCTCCCGATTTCTCCCAGAACCAGCTGAAGAGTCACACTTTGGTGAAAGAAGGTGGCGACGTCCTCATCGAATGCAAGCCCAAAATGTCTCCCCGAGGCTCGATATCCTGGCGCAAAGGCAACGACGCCCTCAGAGAAAGCAGCAGGTAAAGTCCCATCTCCCACTCACATGTCATTAGTCATTTCTGCAGTCTTTTATATAACGCTACCCAATCCAGAGCTTTTCCCGGTGCCTGATCCAGGAGCAGTCAATGGATCTGTGGGATGGGTACTGCAGCAGTACTTTCAGATCTGTTTTTTTGATATAATGTCTTTGTCAAATCATTTCTGTTATTCACTGCAACAAAGCACTGCCACTGACTTTGGCCATTCATCTCTGCCTGAGGAATCCCAATACAGCAGGCTGAGAAAAAGCATGTCTCAGCATGTCTCTGCTAAGGGTCGCGAAGATATGTCTCTAGTGGGCTTTGTGTTTCAGTTTCAACTGCTCTTTTCCCTCTCTTTCATACTGTTTTACTATCTCTTTCTGTTATTTGCTCACTCCCCCAAAACATCAGAGCCGCAGAGTGGGCTATTTTCTGCTGACGTGGATTGCGGCTCTTTAATGCGCGTCCTGCTATCAATCGTAGAATACAATGTGACATATGCAAGTTTAAATGTTATTGTATATAAATAGAGTTTGTTTCTTTAGCCTGCTGTTCTAAAGTTTGGATGTTTGGAAAGCAGTGTTGAAATGATTTCGCCATGGATTATGTCAGCAACCTTTTTACACAGACACAACTTAATAAAAAGTAGATTTGACGTTTACATTTTACATTTATTCATTTTAGTAGACGCTTTTATTCAAAGCGACTTACAAGTAAGGATAAATGAATGCTACGGTTACTAAAGTAACCCTCGTTCCCTGAGGGGGGAACGGAAATGCTATGTGGAAAACCTTCCACTATGGGGTTTTCGTCAGAAACCAATCATCTGAAAGAGTATTAAATCGGGCCAATGAAATACCAAATGAATTGGCAGCGTCAGCATGCACAGCTGGCGTCAATGACAATCAGTCAAGTATATAAGACGCGGCTAGTGCAATGCTCGACATCCTTTTGAGCTGAGGAGACTTTCACGCTCAACAGCTAAGGGACGATCGTTATGGCGAAGGTACATAGCATTTCTGTCCCCCCCCCCTTGGGGAACGAGGGTTACTTTAGTAACCGTAGCGTTCCCTTTCGGATGGGGAACTCCAATGCTATGTGGAAAAACTTCCACTATGGGGAAATCGATGGAAAACGCTACAACGAAAGCACCTTACCGTGTCCCTGGCGAAGGGTGCGCCACACAGCGAGCACACCTACAACACCGTGAGATGCAGTCTTCCAACGTGTCCCCTGGCCCATACTTACCTTACTTACCTGTTCAGGTTTAGCTATATTTTTCGGGGAGTCAAAAATAACCCAGTAAAAGGTTATGCCAATAACAATACATTAAAATTTTGAACTAATAAAATTATAACATGCACATCCCGCACAAACATCAGTCACCTCATGCAATTACCGAAAAGAAGCCTGATGTTCTTATTAACAGCTCCAGAACGGATCATGCAGTCCCTCATAACTGGACTCTGCGGGTTTATCAGATGGCCAGCCGTGAGTTAAAGCAGGGTGTTAATCAACTTCTCTGCACTCTTAGTAGGAGGTGAGCATCTCTGCCAGACCGGCCTTTATCAACACACATATGTCCCTGTCTTCACCGCAGAGTGACAGCCAGACGCAGCGTGATACAAGTGCAGTACGTCGGCGACCTGAAGCGTTTGCGTTTGACCACACTGGGATGGGGAAAGTTCAGTGTTTGTGTGTGCATCTGTCAGTGTGTGCACACCACGCTCGCCTGTCGTTTGCATATACAAAGTTGGTGTCAGTGCTCGTCAAACAGAGTGGCAGACGTTTGCATAAGGGTTACACTGATGCCGGTGTCCTTCAGTCGTCCTGTGTGAGCAATTCTTCACGTCTGCACCTTCAAGAGTCCGAGCCGGAAATTGATTCACCTTGTGTCATCTTTCTTCTTTTCACTTTGTATGGCTTTTTCTCTTTTCAAACAGTGTATTTAGACATTTTCCTCGCAAACAGATTTAGAATATGTGTTTTTGTGGTTTAAAGGGCTACATTTGGCTGTCTTTTTTTTTTCTTTTTTTATTTATTTTGCTGTAAATGTGGTGCTAGGTCATTGATATAACATGCAAGATATTTCTACTGACACCTTAAGAGTCAAAAAAACATATACATGTGTTATAGCATTTATACACTGAGGTATTATTAAGGGTTATGATCAGTCTTTAGTGTTTTAAAACAGTGTATTTAGACATTCTGCTATCTTTTCTTTGTTTTGTTTTTTTGTTTTTTTATTTATTTAGCTGGAAATGTGGTGCTTGGTCATTTATATAACATGCAAGACACCTACTGACACTGAGAATCAAAAAAACATATACAGGCACAACAGCAATCATGAACTGAGGTATCATTAAGGGTAATGATCATATGATCATGAAGGGTAATTTTTAGTGTTTTAAAACAATGTATTTAGACATTTCGCTCCCAAATAGATTTTGAATATAGCATTTTAGTGGTTCAAAGGGACAAATTTGGCTGTCTTTTCTTATTTTTTTATTTATTTAGCTGAAAATGTGGTCATTGGTCATTTATGTAACATGCAAGATATTTTTACTGACACTTTGAGAGTCAAAAAAACATATACAGGTGTTATAGTTTTAATAGACTGAGGTATTATTAAGAGCAATGATCAGTTTAGTGTTTTAAAACAGTGTATTCAGACATTTTGCTAGCAAACAGATTAGGAATGTGAGTTTTTGTGGTTTAAAGGGATACATTTGACTGTCTTTTCTTTATTTCTTTATTTTATTTTTTTTCGCTGGAAATGTGGTACTTGGTCATTTATATAAGGCACAAGACAGTTCTACTGACACTTTGAGAGTCAAAAAAATATACAGATGTTACAGCATTACTGAACAGACGTATTATTAAGGGTAATGATCAGTCTTTAGTGCTTTACAGCAGTGTATTTACACATTTTGCTCGCAAAAAAAATTTTTTAAATATGCATTTTTGTGGTTTAAATGGATACATTTGGCTGTCTTTTCTTTATTTTTTAATTTATTTTGCTTTAAATGTGGTCCTTGGTAATTTATATGATATGCAAGGCATTTCTACTAACACTTTGACAGTCAAAAAAACATATACAGGTTATAGCATTAATAAACTGAGATATTATTAAGAATAATGAACAGTCCATGATATAAAATGGATGTGATTTAAAAGATTATTTGCTTATATTTTTTTTTTACATATTTTATGAAAACACATTTTTCAAATCCACCTTCAGAAGAAAAGTAAAACTTTAAATAGCATAATGCAATTTTTAAAATCTCTGAAATTTTATAGTATTCAATGGCAAAACATCAGTTAGTGCCATTAATTTTCAAGGATGATAAACGGGCACTGTTTTCAGGAAAACCTTTTAAAAATATGTTCAAAAGCTAAAGAGTAAAATAATAAATGCACTGTTTAAAATAAAGATTAAAAAGCATCTGGAAAGTGAAGACAGTTTAATAGTTTATTAACTGTTACAATCAAATTTAGACGTTTTAAGTGAACTACCTAAACACTTTTGGGGCTATTTCATCTAGACTTTATTATGGAAGTCTTTTTTGTCATTGTTCTACCTGACAAACACACACACACACACACACACACAAACTACCACTTAAGATAATAGTCCTTGCTGTGCTTTATTTGCTATAAATAGAGTGTTAGACGGTGCTTGTTTTCTTTAGGGGAACCAAGTGTTCCTTAATAAAAAAAGATTACTAAGAGCCTTATTTGAATTTTAAGGAGCCATTAGGTGCTGTTTTATGTTTAAGTGGCTACATTTTGGCTCTGAAGAATTGTCTCTCTCTTTTTTGTAATAATAATAATAAAAGACAGCATACATATCTTACAAGATATTTAAATATTAAAATCACAGCACTCTTCCCTTTCCAGTCAGTAAAATAATGCATTGGCTGAGTATTTATTAATGGAAACCTTTCATAGGATCAGGACATTATTTTTTAATTCCGTTCTCTATGGTTTAGAAACAAAATAATGCTCTGTCTGCTGTCTGAACAGTATTCCATGTAGACCCGCTCACCTATTTTTGACACAGAGGTAATTAAAAAGAAAAATGGATAAATCACAAGTTTGCACGCACATGTCCCAGGCTGTATTGTGGCCGGCGAGGACTGGTCAAGATGCTTGATTGCATTGTCAATATATGGATACCGGCCAGGGAACTTTTTGCAGGATTGAATGTATTTCTGAAAAATGCTGACTTTCTTCAAGCTCCTTTGGCAATGTCTTGCAAACCTATGCCTATACTTACAGTATATACACATATGCAGAGGCTTAAGGATCATGCAATCAAATTATGCACATCATTTCTCGAGACGTTCTCATACTTAAGCTATGTTGTGGTGAGTGTATGTACAGAATCACTCTCTGATATAAGATGGTGCTCATTGAAAGACAGTAATACCAAACCTGTCAACTCTCCCGTTTTTACCGGGATTCTCCTGTATTTTACAGTTCTATCCCGCTATCATCCCATAAAGATATTTCCCATATTTCTCCTGTATATTTAGTCTTTCTCTTAAGGGTGGCAAATAAACATTAAAAAGCCGAGCTTCCCTATACGCAACCCATACCGCCGAACCACCAGGGGCCGCCTCTCGCTCTTCAATGTGAGTCCTTTCTGTGCTTTCGTGTGTTTTAGGCAGGAAAACACTTTGAAATACATATAAAAACAGCAGGATTCTCTTTCCTTTTCATTACAGGTGACGTCTCCCCTTCATATGCAATCCTCAAAGCAGTCTTATAGCGGTGCATGACTGTCAGCTCGAGAACTCCATAGTGATCAATAGATGCTGTTTACCTAACAAATCTGTACAGGCAATTTGAAGTGGAGCAAAAGTCTGGGTTTTGGTTGCGTGTTTAAACACATATACACATAATTTATAATATTAACATCTAAAAATGTAGATCTTGGTGTTTTTTTTTTTTTTTTTTTTTTAAACAGTCTTAGGAAAGGAATCGAATGCTTTCAT